CTGAATAGCTCTATCTGCTACAAACAGCCTAGTACTAACATTTTTGCTCAAATAAGGGTGAACCCAATGCTCTCTCAGTACCCTTCGCTGTCTTCGGTATTGATAACGCTAATAACATCTTCTTCGTCTGAGTCCGACGTAGTAAGCGCACTTAAGGCCTTAAAACAACGTAACTGCACTAAATTTGCACTCCACTGATTGCACAATAGACGCAACTGTAGTTGTAAAACAGTCACACCGTGTGCGGACAGAAGTTTTGTTTCAGTTGCAAACTGGTTCCAGACGCAACTGGTTTGCAACAGTTGTTTTTGTTGTAAAACAGTCACACCGTGTGCGCTGGGCCTTACATGACTCACATTCCTTGTAATGCAATTCCAATACCAGCTGACCTGACATGATTAGCCCCTTGACATTCCTACATAACCTACGTTATGGTTATAGGTACTCCATTGAGTCTTTGTTTTTATTGAAAAATGTAAATTAGATGTCAACACACCCCTATATCCCCTTACATGACACACATTCCAGGGAATGTATAACCAATACTAGCCTACCTAACTGACCTAGGAAAAATTAGCCCCCTCCACATTTTGGGTTCATTCTGCCCATGTATTTTTTATTTGCTAAATCTCTTAGGCTATGAGATATAATTTAAGAATGTAATGATAATACAAAAAAATAATCAATATGATAGTAAAAAAATAATCAATATGTCTTACGGCTTTCGAAGCACCGATTGGATTGCCGTTCGGTATTAGGCGGCAATAATTTGGTATTTGGAAGTTGCTGTTCGGTATTAGGAAGATGTGTAATTTTTGGAATGGGTTGGGAAAATAGATTTTACTTCACATTTACCGAGGCTTTTTGAGCTATAATCCAGGAAGCCCCAAAAGTTTACATGTCAGAATAAAATACGTTCTGTGATGATGTGGTGTAGTATGAGTGTAAATGAAGATACCTGGGCCCTATATATCTTCCTCTAACCACTGCCAAATCACGCACATTTCCTGTCGTAACCCAACTCTATTGCAAGGAATTGATTTAACTCGTCAAAGTGCACAATATTACCTTAGCTGCCTATCACAGCCAGCTTTTATGTTCTTAATGTATCTAATTATTAAGGAACGCGGCAGCGTTCCGCCCCGCCAAGTCTCCCAGCGGTACACAGCTGCTGCAGTGTATATACATGACGTGACAAAGTGGCTTTTTTACTCGTCTATAGCTCTGAAGAAACAAAAGCTATTAAAATAATTGTCCATCTACTGGATAGGGGCACTCATTCTCAACAAAATAAAAATAAAATAATTTAAAAAACGGTTGTGTTTGAGCCAGAAAAAATAGTTTGAAAATTCACAAATTTTCCGTGTTCTCCTTCTTCTCCTTGAATGTTGACGGACCTACAGCCCAAACCACAGGCTCAATTTTAATGTTTTTTATGTTGTTTGAAAGCCCTTAACGTGTAGATGTGCCTTTTGAGGGTCTCAAGTCGGTGCGTTGGCCCATAAACCCTTGGCAAGCCCTTAAAGTACGATTTTGGCCCATTTAAATAACATGGGATTATAATAAAAACAAAAGAAGGACCAGCTGCGATTAAATCTCATTTAATTTAAATGTTATAGAAATTCATAGGAACAGCTGAAAATTATTTTAAAACTTTTATAAAGTATTTTTTGCAGGTATACCGAATGATTTGAACTACTTACTATATAAAATGACTTAGAGCAGTGATATTCCCCGATACTTCCCATTGAAAAATGCAGTGTACCGATGGTACACTGGTACAACAGCTCGTCATTTTTAACAGTTTAATACTACTTATTAAAACATATGAAAACTAGGAACTTGAAAATTAGTACTAGTACTAGTACTAAGGTTTGTTTTATGTTTTGATACACTAAAATAAAACAATCGGGAAAATCACTCTACGTATGTCAAACAAGCAATTAAAAAGTGATATGTAAATTTAGGATAGATGAGTTTTTCAATATTTGTTTTGTTTATGCTGTTTCTAACAAACTTAATCCGTTTGATTACATTTTTACTTCTCTAATAAGGGCTCAATTTACACTAGTCTTTAGATGTACGGGTTTAATTATCAGAACACTTATGTAACACCAACGCATTTCATGTTGTTCAAGATGACCATTGATGAAATTTGAAACTGAGTTTAAGCCCAGGGGGTTTGTTAAATAGTAATTTTGGTACGTGTGTCAAAAAGTTTTCAATCGGTTTAAAGCAGATAAGACCAAAAATGTAGAATTTAGTTCTACACAAACAATATTATTGAATTTAAATGAAATGTAGTTGTGCCGTGGTCTATATATCAGAGAAAGGAAGATTTTTATTTTAACTTTTAATTTTCTACAAAAATAAATAAAATCTAACAAAAAACCACTAAGTGGTAACACTTTCCCCGCCAAGTCAGCAATCCAAATAAAGATAATAAATCATTACTTTTTCCGCCAAGAAAAACAATGTAATGTATGTAAGTTTGGCAACTTGGCGGCAGACTTTTGCTCGATCACTTTAAAAAATACCATAAAACTAGTTTCATTGAGCAAGTATCTCTCCCATTAGTACATTGCTAGGTGAGAGCTTATTTTACAAAATTTGACCTTATTTGTGCCACATTTCATAATTTCGTCATAGTGATGGTTTTATATTTACTGATTACCTCGAAATTATTATACTTAGTTGGACTAATTAATTACAGAAGTTGATTTGTGAAATTATCCACGAACGTAACTTCAATGAAAAAAACCAAGCAAAAGTCTGCCGCCAAGTTGCCAAACTTACATACATTACATTGTTTTTCTTGGCGGAAAAAGTAATGATTTATTATCTTTTTTTGGATTGCTGACTTGGCGGGGAAAGTGTTACCACTTAGTGGTTTTTTGTTAGATAATATAATGAACAGAGAAATATATATATATGGACTTATTCTAATTCGTGAAAAAAGGTAACTAGATTTAGCAAATTGAATTCTAAATTTGTGAAATTAATTGCCAGACCACGACCATTCTAGAACCCAATAAATTACATGATTTAATTACTACCTACCCTAGCCTACACCCTTCCCCAACCCCTACGAAGCTATCTAGACATATTCTAACTTAGGTACTTATCCGGATTAGATGTACAGCTCGAGGCGGTCGACACTACACTACTGGTCTCTTGGCTCGCTGCGCGTGCCTACCCGGGCCGACTGCGCGCGCATCGTCGTCACGTGACTTGCGCTATTGTAGCGATCCGCTACAGTTTGGTAATTGGTAGATTTACCTTAGAGGCTAAATGATTCAATTTGTACCCTAACTTAATACATTTTAGCAGCAGGGCTTGTATTTTGTGACTGATATTTCGAGTATGTCTATCGATGATTGTTCCCAGAAGACATTGACAGGGTGTCCAGCTAACCTGGAAACTGAATCATGTAGGGCCTACCTACGTAAATTTTATGGAACCAGGAAAACGTGTTTTGTTAAATCGGCCTAGGCCTAATAAATGTCAAAAAAACCCAAATCACAGATTGAAACTATCACGATTCACCGATGTTACCGCAATTGTAAGAAATGGTTACAGGAAAAAATATAACCTAATAAATTTTTCTGCGATTGCAAGAAGATCACTGATGAGGCTGCAACCACGATGTGACAGGTGTTGAAGTACCTAACTTAATCACTGGAAATAATAGCAGATGTTGCCGCAGTCATGTGAAATCGTCACAGCTGTTATTGCAATAGTGGGGGCCTATATCGTCTCAGTTATTTCTCCGATCAAGAAATAATTAAAGATGTTGACATGATTGTCAGGATGATTACCGGATGTTGCCGCGATCGAAATAAACCACCATATGTGTTGTCGTAATTGTTAGAAACCATCAAGGTTAACGACGTCTGCATTTCTGGCCTTTCCATAGTCACAAGTAATGATCACGGTCATTGCTGTGATCATGGGAAATCATAACATCGGTTATCACAATGAATTTTTGAATTCTGATCCTTTGTGACCAGCTCTTAAGGTCGCGACTTGCCTTCCACTGGCGCGTGCCCAATTAGTGTACCTGTGTTATTGAATGTCTAGTCTCAAGTGTGATAATTGTTTTATGTATTACTTGTTTTATCAAATCTTTGGCCAAACTCCACCATGTAACATTGACACTTCGAATGTGGTCAAAATATTTTATCAAATTGGTCATAAAAGTCAACTTTTTACCAAACATTATTATTTTTGTTGTTTTTTTACACAATTGGCTTCGCTAAGAGCGCATTTGTTTGTGTGGTAATGTTAACAAGTAAAGGTACAATGCAGTCGGTTGACATTCAAAACTTCAAGTTGTTCGTATGCAACTTTAAAAAATCTGTAATTTGTTTTGGACAGTTCTCTCAAGAAAGTAAATATTTTTGATAATTTTGTTAAAATTGACCTAAAACAGCAATGACAGTTGGTAGTGTTGGGAGGGGAAGGGATGAGGAGGGCAACGGGGAAAGACCAAGGCTGTATCCTAAAATAAACTTCTGTTTTTGATGAATACGTTGGTGCTGCACTGTGTCATTTCAGCCATTTTTATGACGGTTACTTTATTCTTGGAGTCTTGCGGCCAAGACCTTATCAACCAGACAGTGCTCACCGTAACAGAATATAACACACTGAAATTTGCTGCAGTGTTTTAATGTTGACTATCAGGAACTATTAACAACCAAGTTTTGCGTTGGCTATTTTTAAATAATTTAGGTTTTGCACATTTTTAACAGCAAGTTTGGTCCTGATGAAAACTTTGATTTTAATTCTCGAAAAGCTGAAATTTTTAAATTTTCTTTAGATTGGTTGCTGGACACACTGGATCTAGGTTAATGTAGGTAGGCTGTCTGCTCCTTTGTTGTTTAACTTAGATAGTTTCTTGACATTTTCTTAACTAAGTTAATTCACACTTTTTTTGTAAATTCTGACATCAAATATCTGGTTTCACTACCTGTGGAGTTATCGATTGTTTTTATTTTTAGGTCTTCTTACGGATCTGGAAGTCGAGGTTCAGGAGGAAAGTTTAGCGGTGGAAAGTCATTCGGAGGAGGTGGAAGTGGTGGAAGATTTGGAGGAGATAGAGGCGGCGGTCGCTTTGGCGGAAACGGAGGAGGAAGATTCGGAGGAAATGGAGGAAACAGCTTCAAGAACAAGCAACCAGGTGGAGGCCTTAAGAAACCAACCTGGGACTTTGAGTCTCTCTCGCCATTCGCCAAAGATTTCTACAACCCTCATCCCAATGTTGTGGACCGACCATTCCATGAAGTTCAGAACTTCTTGGCAAGCAAGGAGATAACCATCAAAGGGAGAGCTCCTAAGCCTATTCAATTCTTCGAGGAAGCCAATTTCCCCGAATACGTCCTTGCTGAAGTCAGGTAGATTAATATTATTATATCATAATTTGTATTTATAATTGTGTACATATTCTGGTAGGCATTGATACAGTTTTAAATGAAGAATACAATTTGATTGTGATACAACTTACAATTAAGTTAAATACCTATACTAATAAAAGTAGGTACAATTAATTGCACAGTATCAGCTAGTAGTCTTTTTTTCTAAAGAGACGATTTAACACAAAAAAAAAAAAAAAAAAAAAACTTGTAAAGGATAACAGGTTTTTAACTAAATGCCCTATAACCTAAAATACTCTATAGAAAATTTTCATCTTCAATTCCAAAAGTGGTGTTTTCTGATACTCACTCTCTGGGTAATAGTGAAGTGGAGCAAACACCAACATTGGCACCAAATGTTATTAACAGTACATTTTCTAAGACTCATAAAAAGCAACAGATAACTAATTGAACGATGTATTTATTTCAAGTTGTTAGTAATGTGTAAAAATATGTTTTAGGAAACAAGGTTTTGACTTCCCTACTGCCATCCAAGCACAAGGTTGGCCTATTGCAATGAGTGGACTGAACATGGTTGGAATCGCCAAGACTGGATCTGGGAAAACCCTAGCGGTAGGTTTTAAAATAGATATCAGTCTAAGCTGTATTTTATGTAACCTAAATGTTAAGCCCACATGCATCTAACCTTCTGCATGTTATATTTAAAATAATTAAGGGTGTGTAAATAAGGGGGTTGAGTATTTTAAATGTCACTTTTGAAATATTCACTTTTTAGGATGAAAATTTTTTAATGGGTAATTTAAACAGTTAGACTTAATTTCCTTTAAGTTTTTCAATTTATTTGTTATGTAATGGCATCACTGGCCATTCGTCTAATACAATTAAAAAAATATATGTCCTATTTCAGTACATGCTGCCGGCAACTGTCCACATCAACAACCAAGAGCCCATCAAGCGCGGTGATGGACCCATCGCTCTGATCCTGGCCCCCACCCGAGAGCTGGCACAACAGATACAACAGGTGGCCATTGAGTTTGGGTCGTCCACTTGTGTACGAAGTTGCTGCATCTACGGTGGAGCTCCCAAGGGACCCCAGGCGCGAGACCTTCAGCGCGGCGTGGAGATTGTCATTGCAACCCCGGGCAGACTCATCGACTTCCTGGAGCAAGGCACGACCAACCTGCGACGTTGCACTTACCTGGTGCTTGATGAGGCTGACAGGATGTTGGACATGGGTTTCGAACCCCAGATCCGCAAGATCATCGAGCAGATTAGGGTTAGTATGACAGATTCACACGTTTGCCTGTACATTTACACTCAGTTACTCAATGCTTGTGATGTCACTATCCCGCTAGAGACGTGTTTTGTTCTATGAATATTAATTGTTGTTCTGGTTGCAAATTTAAATTATCAGTGCCTGGTTTTCTAGACTCCACAGGGGGCTACTGTGGTGCCACTATCCGGCATCTAACTCTTCAATGTGGAATACATTTTTTAGTTTGCCTATCTAGGCTAAAAGTGTCTCAACATGGCTACAATTTTTGTTGAACAAATTTCAAATTGCTATAATAAGTAGATCATTGGAGCAACGGCAAAACTTGTCAATATAGGACCATTTTTTCTTCAAGAGTGTTTAGAAGTCAAAACCTTTTTTTAGATTGTTCATGTATTTATTTATTATATGCCTAATTATAATGCAGGCTCACAAATGTCAAACAGCTAAAACATCTGAGGGCAATGAAAAACTAACATTTTTACTGGCAAAAGTTTGTTTAAAAAAAAACTGAAGGTAATTTATACCAACCAGGTTCAGTACCTACTTAAGTAGCCTTATGTACGTCACAAGGGAAATTAATCCTAGACCTAATTATTCAATATTATTTCAGCCTGACAGACAAGTACTTATGTGGTCGGCAACTTGGCCCAAAGAAGTTAAGAAACTTGCTGAAGATTTCCTTCAGGACTACGTTCAGATCAACATCGGTTCCCTTGAGCTTTCTGCCAACCACAACATTGTTCAAATTGTCAACGTCTGCAGAGATAATGAGAAGGACCAAAAGTGAGTATTACAGTTATTCTATCAGTTGCGTTCATAATCATGTTTTACAAAGATAAGATTAGTTACGCTTAAGTTTTTATATCTGATTTCAAAAGTCATTTTTATTTTCGTAACTCATCTCTTAAATAAAAATTCTAACTGAATGTGACAATTTAATAAAAAAAAAACTCATGATGACTGACCTAAGTTGTTTGACAGTGGTTCTTAAACTCCAGTACTAAATATAAACAGTAAAAGCTTGCTAATACGACAGCCAATGTCCGGCACTTTAAATAATCTAGCATCGGGTAGCTGAGTCTGAAGTGTTTGGCAAACATCTGTTGTACTCGTTTTGCTAATTTTTATTTTTCTCTTTGGAGTCCTTTAAAAGAGAACAATTGTTATATAACAATTGTGTGTTTAGATTGAGCACTCTGCTTCAAGAACTGAGTCAGGAGGAAGGAAAAACCATCATTTTTGCTGAAACTAAGAAAAAGGTCGACAACATCACCAGAACTATCCAGCGCTATGGGTGAGTAGACCTACTGCCTGCTGATAAACTAGCCAACGCCATCAACAATACTGAACATGAATTTAGTAAATAAAAAATAAGTTGTAATATTTATAAATCATGGAGCAAGACAAGTTGTCATTGTTATATCAGTAGTTTTTCATTGTTATTTTTGTCTAAAAAGTACCTATAACAGATTGAACGGCTTACTTCATTGATCGACATTTGTATAATATCTGATTTTAGCTTCTAGTAAACACACTTTGGTGTTTTTAATAAATTTAATATTACAGTAAAAGCAAAAAAAAAAGAAGAATAACCGTGGTGTATTACTTTTTTGGTTAGTAGCATGTTAATTAATTGTTGGTTTTGTTGTTTTAGATGGCACGCAATGGGAATTCACGGAGATAAGAACCAAAGTGAGAGAGATTGGGTGTTAAGAGGCAAGTGCTTTTTGCTCAACAATGTTTTAATGTTTTCCCTAGTCTAAATCTCTAAATCTGAAAAATGTTTTGCTGGTACATGTCAAAGGTAAATTACATGTGTTCATGATTATTTTTTAACTCTTCCTTTTCAAAATGATTCAAATAGATTTTTGTGTTTTCAAAAACTTAAACAAATATGCTGAAATTAGTTCTACAAGTAAAAAAGAATCAAGTTACAGTATTGGTAAAAAAACACAATGTTTGTGTAACAACATTATCCACATGAAGTAGATGATTTGTTTGATTTGTCGATCAGCTGTTTAGTTTCAAATGAATTAATAATGTCAAAGATTTGTGATTTAAAATACATAAATTATCATAGTACCGTAAAGTTTTCTTAATCATGGTAACTTATGCTCAACTAAATTTTACTATTCCCAGCATTAAAATAAAGTAGTAAGATCCATTATGAGTAAACTTTAAGGTACACAATCCTTGATTGAAATGTAGTATACATTGACAGTCATAATACACAGCAATTTCAAGCAACAAACATATGTTTCTGTAAATGAAAATTATCTCCCCATGTTATCCTTATGGAGTAATACAAAACTTTAAAGGGCCCCAGGGCCTCATTCTCTAATTATTTCCCTAAAAAGAAAGTTTCCTACACAACTTCACGTTACGCTCTTTCCAATGAGACCAAAAACATGTCAATCGGTTCAGTAGTTTCGGAGGAGTAATTGTCACAAAAATCCTGCTTGCGTATTAAATAAGTACTAGAGGTCGTCCAGTGGTCGAAACTCGACCAAAAATATTTAATGTACAGACTTCTTTATTTTCATTCCACACTTTGAATAGAACATGTGATTGGAGTTTCATCCATTTGTTTTGATTTTCTGTTTATAATTCGTTGTTATTTCGTCACCAGCATGGCAACTCATAATATCCATGTTCAATTTTTCAAAATTTTAAATTCATTTTTTGTGCTTATTTTTGAGCCTATTTTAATTTATAAAGGGATTCTGCACACCTACAGGAAAATAGCTTTCTAACAGTATCGTAGATTTTCTCTACGATGCACACGAGCTGAGAAAAAAGGTTTTAAAGAAACATGCTTGCCTATTAATATATAGATAGATAGATTCTACAATAATCAAGCCTTTTTATTCTTAATTTTTGCAAACACAATAGACTAGAATAAATACTCAATATTTGACTTTTTGGGTTTTGAGGAAAACAATTTCATCAATGGCTGACTTTAACTTGGCTATATATTGTGATCGCAATGTGTTGAGAGGTAAATAGATAGATTGTTGAACTTGCCACCAAAAAAACCTTGTAGACCCTATTGATTTGCTGTGTTAGCTTACTGTTGAATTGTTTGTTCCAGAGTTCCGTAAATCGTCAGCAGGAATTCTGGTGGCAACTGATGTTGCTGCCCGAGGCCTAGGTACGTAACTTCCCCCGTAAAACGGACGTGCAAGGCTACTGGGGAGATGGACGAGACTCTTCGTTTTTGATGCCAACTTTTTATAAATTCTACGTTTATAACTTGAAGCGGCCAAACTACACCTGTTGATTCGTAAGCACATCAAAGTCAATTTACTTTTCAAGTTTGATAGTTTTACTGACATGTCCATCCCAAGTGTTATGTGTTTGCTGTATGGTATAAGCAGGAGATAATATTCATTAGAAATTAATTTATTTAATCTTTCCATGCAAGTTTTATATGATAACGTATTGAAGGTGCATCTCCTGTTCTTCATTCATATAAGAATTGAATCTTCATGTCCCCCTACCGTACCTATTTTGAGTTTTTATTCTGTATATTCTAATCAAATAACGTGCACATTTTGTTTAAATCTCCGATTGCTAAAGGAATTTTTCTACTTTCAGTCCATTATTCCAGTTTATTCTCTTACTTACCTTCAAAGACATATTCAATCAGGACTTTTTCTTCACTGATGTTTCACCGTCATGGATTCAATCATCAGTCGTAGCCACAAATATGTTTTTTCTTAAATGAGGTTAGAGGTTATTGTTGAGCAAGATCCCACGCAAGATAAAAATGTGCTCCTTTAGCATTTTTCTGTGATACAGGACACTTATATTCTGTAATGTAACCCATACACTTGTGCGTGAAGACAATCTCTTCATTGGACATGTAACTGTTGAAGTTTTGATAACTTGAAAAGCAGCATATATGTGTATTTACAGTGGCATATATGTATTGATGTGTCTAGTCTGGTGGGTTTTGGTCGCAGGCATCTTGTCTCTCCTGGCCATCGCACGACCGATTCATTCCTCTTCAAGCTTATTGAGGATATATTGAATCTGTTTGAAACTATGTCGGACTGGTTCAGGTAACTCATTGAATGGTATGAGTCCTCAAGCACTTGAAGAGTTATCTCTTAACATTTGGAAATGTATAGTTGGGTTGTCATTACTGGGCCTAGAGTAGAGGTTGAGCTATTTTAACATATTTACTGAGCTTTGTTCTTTAAAATTTGACAATTATTTCTCATGGCGAAAAAATTTTTTTACATTCATAAACTATTTATTTTTATCATATACGGTAATAGTATGTTTCACTGTAAGTTTTTTTTTTTTAGATTTTGAATAATCTACAATTAAGAGATAGGCCTACTTTTACCGAGACCATATCAAAACTCCATGTGAAAAATCACATGAAAATATTGTAAAACATGGTAATCTATTTTAAATTGTTAAAAAGGTTGAGTAATTTCTGACTATTTTTTAAAAGAACATTTAGGCCAGGAAAATACTGTAACCAAGAAATATCATGGAGATGTTAGTGACAATCGCAGATGCAGCCGACATAATTGAATTATGTTGATCTACATTTTGTATGAGCAGGTCACAGCATTTGTCACACAAATGCAGCCCTGGCCCACATAACAACACACAATGTTTTGGTGCCATGGATTATACATCTAATGGAATTGATAAACCGAGCACGAGCTTTGTTGGATATAGCCTAGATTGTTGCCACTAGAGCAATCCGGTATCCACAACATTCATCTTGCTGACGGATGAATGGAGAACATAGCTGTCCGGTAATCTGTTACGGGACTCTATATAGCCAAGCTTTGGATATCTGCTCATTGGGTTTTATCAATGGTACTGTGTAAAATGAAATGGTAAGTGGACACCTGGCAAGTCATCACAACATATCGATAGCTCACCTCTATGTCTCATTGTATGTGTTTACTTTTTTCAATGTGGGATGCAGTAAGAACCAATTCATGTAAATTTTTATAACTTTATTTCAAATACGTATTAAAACTGTACCAAATGGCAAATGCTTGAAATTTTTTGTAAGCAATATAATTTATGTTACTTTTAATTAACTAGCTGTGAGCTTAAATTTTTTCTTAACGTTGATGTTCTTTAGGTTATTTTAGTTGCGTTAGTAAATGTGGGTCCCAAAAATACATTGAAAAAATTGAAGACGAAATTGGCCATTGATTCAGGAAAATGACATTTCAACCAGAGGTAGGCGAATTAGTGATTGACAAAATAACAATTATGTTTCTTTATGTATAGATGTGGATGATGTGAAGTACGTTATAAACTACGACTACCCCAACTCCTCTGAGGACTACATCCACAGGATCGGCCGCACAGGCAGGTCCGACCAGACAGGCACTGCGTACACATTCTTTACACCCAACAACAGCAAGCAGGCGCGAGACCTCATCAACGTCCTGACAGAGGCCAACCAAGAGGTGAATCCCGAACTCAACAAGCTGGCGATGCGCGGAGGTGGTGGCGGCGGTGGCAACTGGAGGGGAAGTAAGTGTAACCCAAGCAATAATCTTGTCTTTGTAAAAAATCAGAGGCGTGTATGGGGTGCAATCGATATGTACTCTGAATTTGCAACCCTATACAGTTACTAAATAATGAAAAGTAACTATCTAGTGGCTTCTACAAAAAACTCGGAAGAACTCATTTATGTATGTTAGTAGGCCTATTTAAAAGTTTTCTTTTCAGTAATTTTTCAAAAACTGAATTGTACCCTTTTTACCTGATGAACTTTGCTTATTACAAATAATAAGAGTTTTGTTTGAAATGGAAATATTACAATTTTACAGTAAATGCTTAAACAATTATCAATGTTTCTTTAAATTTTAACAACAAATTTGTTGTGTCTAGGGAACCAGTGGGGCTACCAGAGAAACACCGGCACCAGAAGTTTTGGAGGCCGAGAAAAGAGCCATCAGAAATTCAATGGTAAGTTTATTTATTATTATCTTACTCCATAACTTTTTTGGTGGTGCCAATTGGCATTCAACCTATAGTCGGGAAAAAGTTGCGCGTGTGTAAGGTAAATTAGTCTTTGAATACGTTCAGGATGCTAATGGGCAACTCTTCTCCAGTGAAGCTAAGCATTAATCAAGTTTAACTTTGAAGGGATTGCACATTCTTTGTGCTGGGGCTGGGCGTATTGTGGAGATAATTAATGGCTATTCACTAACGTTAGCTACAAATGTTTTATTTGCTTATATAAACTATTATTTTACGAGATATACCATCTCGTTTAAAATAGTAATGTAAATGTTTTTTTGTTTCAGACTACTAACTGCTGACATCCAGTTCAACTGTCGCTGTACATCTCTTTTATTGTGATAACTTAAAATAATGTCATTAATGTAGCTAGAACCACAGATTTTTTGTTTCAGTTTTTGAGTTGGCTCGGTCAAGCGGTAAAGCCAAAAATTATGACTTAAGTTGTTAGATCTCTTAAAATGGTACAATATTGTAATTTGGATCAACAATGACTGTTGTGCGATTATTTATGTAGCTAAAAGTGCACTTTCAAATTGTAATTTATCTGAAGGATATTTTGTTTTATTAAATGTGTGTGTATACTGTATACTTACTCTATCAATGATGCATTGGTAATCCTCAACTTTTTATAATGACTGTAGTATTACCTAGGATTAAGTAACCCTTTTGACACCGTTGCACTGTGGTTTTAGCAAATCTTTTATTTGTCATCTTTTGTACTTGCTATGTTAAGATATGTTAATTTTAGTGCAGAAAATTCCTTTATAATTTCTTTTATTAAGGTGAGTGGAAAATACAAAAAAAATCGCAAAACCTTTTGTTGTCGATTATTTTCCTAATAAATCTTGAATGATGTTTCTAAGTTCTTGAATTTTCAATTAAAAACAAAATTTGAGCAGATGCTCTATTTGGAAGAATCTATATAAAGCTAATTAATACTCTATTTGGAAAACATCTATTTACTTACTTAAAGCTAATAAGGAATGCAAAGCCGCACACCTATCATATAATCCGCATACTTGAATGAAAGGATGTGAAACTTCCCCTACAAATATCAGTTTGTCAATTAACTCTCCTAAGGGCATGAACCTCATCTAAAGATTTGTATTAAATCACATTTAAAATATTGTAGAGATGTATCATCTTGTTTTTATTTATAGTTTGATTACCTTTTCCCTGAGTTGTTAACATTACGAAAAAGTTACAAGTTTTGATTCTGCCACACAGCTTGATGCAATTACACAAGAAACTTGCAATTAATCATCACAGTTTTAATATAAATATATCTCAATATTTTGAGTGGGGCTTAAAAATTTTGGGGGAAGAATATTAGAAATCCAAAATGTTAATCTGCAGCATTGGGAAGTAGTGCACTGCATGTGGCGACACTACAGTAGCATGCTACTTTTTGGTAGCGTAAGCTGTAGCTACTCTACTTATTAGATGTTAAAGCTTAATCTCAACAAAATATTAGCGCTACTGTACATTACAGTAAAAGATTATTTTCTCGCTATTTCTTTATTGATTAAGACAGCGATTTTTATCACAACTTAACCTCTTTCAAACTGAAATTACTGAGAAAAGTAGGCCTGCTACTTGCTTGGCTTCTTACAGCTAGTCGCAGCCGTTTTATAGTGTTGCATGGTCATTAGAGGCAATAGAATATTGACTACCTTGGTGTTATAAGCATTTTTAACTCTAATTCCTTCATTTGCTACTCTATGGTCAGATCATGACAAATTGCCAGACACAGACGACAATGTTTAAATATTACCGGTGGGCAAATAACAAAAAACCTTTGATGTAGGCCAACTCATTGAAGCTGGTCCATCAATTTTGTCAGCACTGCGAAAAAACATGACTTAAATGTAGGGATGGACGGGATTGAATTTTTAGTTCGGGACGGGATTTTTATTTCCTTCCCGATTTTCGGGACGGGACGGGACGGGATTTTTTTCTGTGCATAAAAAGAAAGTACTGTATTGCAGTTACCAAAAAAGACATACGAAATCAATTTTTACCATTTGTGGCACTGATCTATAAAAACCAAAAAATGGGTAACAATTTACAGGTACCTATAGAAACTTGTGACTCGCGGGTCACGGGGTGATCGTCGGTATGACTTCGCGGTCACGGGGTTATCGTCGGTATGACTCCACGGTCACGGCGCGATCGTCGTCATGACTCGCGGTCACGGCGCGATCGTCGGTATGACTCGCGGTCACGGCGCGATCGTCGGTATGACTCCGCGGTCACGGAGTTATCGTCGGTATGACTCCACGGTCACGGCGCGATCGTCGTCATGACTCGCGGTCACGGCACGATCGTCGGTATGACTCGCGGTCACGGCGCGATCGTTGGTATGACTCCGCGGTCACGGAGTTATGGTCGGTATGACTCCACGGTCACGGCGTGATCGTCGTCATGACTCGCGGTCACGGCACGATCGTCGTCATGACTCGCGGTCACGGCGTGATCGTCGTCATGACTCGCGGTCACGGCGCGATCGTCGTCATGACTCGCGGTCACGGGGTTATTGTCAGTATGACTCCACGGTCACGGCGTGATCGTCGTCATGACTCGCGGTCACGGCGCGATCGTCGTCATGACTCGCGGTCACGGGGTTATTGTCAGTATGACTCCACGGCCACGGCGCGATCGTCGTCATGACTCCGCGGTCACGGGGTTATCGTCGGTATGACTCCACGGTCACGGCACGATCGTCGTCATGACTCGCGGTCACGGCGTGATCGTCGTCATGACTCGCGGTCACGGCGCGATCGTCGTCATGACTCGCGGTCACGGCGTGATCGTCGTCATGACTCGCGGTCACGGCGCGATCGTCGTCATGACTCGCGGTCACGGGGTTATTGTCAGTATGACTCCACGGTCACGGCGTGATCGTCGTCATGACTCGCGGTCACGGCGCGATCGTCGTCATGACTCGCGGTCACGGGGTTATTGTCAGTATGACTCCACGGTCACGGCGCGATCGTCGTCATGACTCGCGGTCACGGCACGATCGTCGGTATGACTCGCGGTCACGGCCTGATCGTCGGTATGACTCCGCGGTCACGGGGTTATCGTCGGTATGACTCCACGGTCACGGCACGATCGTCGTCATTACTCGCGGTCACGGCGTGATCGTCGTCATGACTCGCGGTCACGGCGCGATCGTCGTCATGACTCGCGGTCACGGGGTTATTGTCAGTATGACTCCACGGTCACGGCGCGATCGTCGTCATGACTCCAGGTCACGGCGCAATCGTCGGTATGACTCGCGGTCACGGCGCGATCGTCGGTATGACTCGCGGTCACGGCGCGATCGTCGGTATGACTCGCGGTCACGGCGCGATCGTCGGTATGACTCGCGATCACGGCTCGATCGTCAGCATGACTCCGCCATCACGGCATGATCGTCAGTATGACTCCGCGGTCACGGCGCGATCGTCGGTAGGACTCCGCGGTCACGGCGCGATCGTTGGTAGGACTCCGCGGTCACGGCGCGATCGTCGGTATGACTCGCGGTCACGGCGCGGTCGTCGCTAGGACTCCGCGGTCACGGCGTAATCGTCGAAATGACTTCGTCTCCTGCGTTCGCGGACCTATCGCTCGCAATAACGGCGTTATCGGCACTCGCGAAGCGGAAAAATCGCCGACGATCGGACCAAATCCCGTCCCGAAAAATTCCCGAGTAAAATGTAATCCCGTCCCGATAATCGGGAATATTTTTTTCCCAAAAAATTCCCGAAATTTCGGGACCCGTCCATCCCTACTTAAATGTATGATTCTTGGGAAAAGCTGAGTAGGACTGTCATTCTCCACCCCACTTCAGAGGTCTTGCTTGAGTAAACATAATTGTACAATTTAGGTTCCAAATTTGTAAATTTTGAACACTTGTGAAATACTAAGACTTTTATTTTTCAGGAGTAGCATTAACAGTGAGCGTGTATCCCCATATCTTCTGAATGTAATTTCTTATTTTGAAAAAAGAATCTTCGTAGAAATTAGTTGCATTTACTGTCAGGATTGGTGGGTCCACAAATCTATCGAAAGCCGTCACGATCCTGAAAAAGGAGAGTAATTTCAGATATAGTAGGGCCTACATACAGTAAGCACCTAACTGTCAGAAATTGAATGTTGAAAACATAATAACGGAAAGTAAATAATATAAAACATAATTGTAATTTTCCTGTGTTTTCAACGTAACTGACTTGAAAATGCTGAAACAGGATTAATTTGAACACAAATAGCCCTGTTGCAGCAAATTCGGAGACTACTAGAAATATTTCCCAAAAGTATGTCAGAATTACTTTCTATTGAAATAACATTGGTTTGGTTAACAAGAATACTATAGTACTATCGTTTTGGTTTGCTACTATAGTGGGAGGAAAAGAGTATATTAGGGTTGATAGCTTAGTATAAAATATTAAAAGAATGGGCGCTAACAGGGCTTATAATAATGCATAAATACTGGGCGTTTTCCTATCAATTGAAAAATATTTTTAAGTTTTAATGAGAGCGCCACAAACCATACATACAGAGGAAATCAAGAGCTTTAGGAAAATGTAAGATGTTATAGGGTAAAAAAATGTATTTTTTTATTAAAATACAATAAATTATTAGAACCCCGGTTAACCAAAATGGTTTCATAAAATAGTGCAGGGCTAAAATATAAATATGTTTCTTTAATACGTAATGTAAATTTGTTTAGTTTGTAAAATTTTTTAAGCTGAAATCAAACACTACTATATTGTCATTGTTTTAAATTCATTTTTCCTATACACTGTGGTAATACATAGGCTAATTCTGGTATATGACATGTTAACCGAAAAATAGGTTATCCTAAACGGCTCTCCCCCCTTTAATCCGGTTAACCGGTGATCTACTGTATCATAAAAAGAAAAATAGCTACGATATGACAGAGTTCATATAAAGCTGAAGTAAGGAGAAAGTATAATTTGGTTCAGTTCAGATTGGTCAGTGTTTTTTGTCAAGAAACATCATAAAAAATTGTCAGCAGAAACAAAGATTTGAAGAAATTTGACCTAGGAACCAACCAAACATTTTACATTACTAAGATTTTCTATTGCTTAGTAAACACGCTAACACTGCAGTGTTCACTTGACAACTTACTTGCGCTGGAACATGTAGTTCTCTTTGGTGGTGGAGATCCGGTTGCGTATAGAGTGATGAGCGTTGAGCAGCACAGTGAGGTCAGGTATGAGCAGATCCTCAGGCCACTCGTAGATGTTGGAGCCTGCGGGCGGAAGGTCAGCAGGCGTGGCGTGACCCCAGGCTATGTTAAATGCCAACTGGTCGTAGTAATATCTGAAAAATAACAAAGACTTCCACTTCAACTCAGGTTACCCATTCAACTGTAAAAATCTTGAACACAAAACACAATGCAGTACATCAAATGAAAGGTAACTGAAAAAGTTCTTGAAACTGGGTAACGTTATTAACCTAACTGTGAATTTTGCTGCTACTTCTAAAAATGGGGATGGTTCGATTCTGATTGTTGATTTGACAAGACTTTCAATACCGGTGTAAGATTTATTTTTGATAATTAAGAATCTGAAGCGACATAGCTTTAGGACTTCCAAAGTCTACAAATGTACATTCTGAATCATTTGTCAGTCAGCTAGGTTTTAAAGTAAAAATCGAGATTTTCATCTTCCACTAATCATTGAGAGAAGACTTACGAAGACATAAATACAGGATGTTGATGCCACACGCTCTGTACGTCGAAGGCAGAGGCGTAGTTACTCAAGGCCAGGTAGACTTTGCGCTCATGCTTGGTACCATGGAAGTCAGCCTTGAGGTGCGCTAAGCACCGAGGAGGATTGGTCAAAGCATAGCCTTGGTACATCTGAGCCATCCTTCGTAGCATGTTGTTCCTGCCTGGACAAAATGCGAGCAATATCATCTATTGAGGCCATGATTCATTTATCAATGTGTTTTAGTTTGTAGGAATACCATAGACAAAATCACAAATCTCACACATTTGAAAAACCCTCTCCAGAAATACACAGTTGGTAAGAGTGAGCGATGACGGTACTGCTTGATCTGCCAGATGTAAATCCCTTATTCCTGTTATCAGATTGTATGGAAAACGTTTCATAAGGACACATCTTTTCCTTAGTAAATTCTGTTAACGTGCCAATGTAGTTGAAATTTTTTATAACATACGATGATTTAATATCCTATTTAAAATAACCATCCGTTATTTTATTTGAAATATTTTTATTATGAGTAGAATTTACATGTGCTCTAAAATAATTAATTGTAAAAATGTTAATCAGTTATAATAAAAAAAGAATTATAGAAAAAAAAATTCAAGGTATCGTTCATCGTGATGTTCCAGTCCAGTGAGCTGAAACCCTACTGGACTGAGGCTGTTTTAGGACTTTGTCCTCTTCAGCCAAAGATTTTCAAGGTACAATTTATTTTGTCTTGCCTGAATTGTGAGTGCCCTCTAAAGCAATGAACACTTTCCGCACTGGAGGCTCAGGTAATGGCTCTGGAGGAATACACTGCACCTTGAACACCTGCACTAGGCTCTGTATCAGCGAAGAGTTGGCAAACTGTAACATACTGCAATATAATTATTACTTTATAATTTATTGATAATTTTTTTTTAGAGGTTGGTGGCCTCTTGCGCATTTCCCTATCCACAGAGGCCAAGCAAAGCAAGTGATGCAGTACAAGGGTGAACTCTACTGTAGTGGTGTAATGGGGCGGGAACATGTGTTAACAGCATGGGCGTCCATCTAACTGATTCATAACACAGGCCTGGAGAAGGAATAACCCCCAGTAAAAAGGGAGTTCAAGGGACAACATGTTTAAAATTGACATACAAAATGGTTGGTTTTACAATCTTTTGTAACTAAATTTGCTTTATGTATATTAAATTTTTGGTTTACTTAATTTATAAAATTTGTAAACATTTGGGTAGCTTAAGGTCTTATAAGGGGGGCTCGAGCCCCCCTTGCCCATGGGTAACAGCATACCTCATGGTTAACTACACAGGTGGCAACATTCTACGAGGAGCGTATACTCAAACTTGTACCACGCTATGACAAATGCCTCAAAAATCACGGTTATGTTGAAAAATAGTGTAAGAGTTTTAGATTTTTTTTAAGTAAAATTCTTTTCTGTATCTTTACTTGTTATTCCTTTAATTTTAAAACGGAACTAACTTCCTGAACCTACCTCGTTAAATACCAGTGTGGTTACTACAACAATACTGATTGTCGCGTAGATGGTCAGACTATTACAAGAGCTCGATGAAGACATATAATTCATGGACACTCTGTTTTTTATAGAATTCGTTTACAAATAGACTACTGCTAAAATGTTTAAAACTCACTCTAGGTCCAGTAATATCTTCCATCAAATCTTTGTAGGACTTGTAAATTCCAATTTGAGCCATTTCTTCTTTTGTGTAATCTAAAAAATATTTATCATAAAGAATCACAAAATAGTTATTTAGTAATGCTATTTTTGCAATAAGCAATCAACTGCTGTACAAGGATTTAATATTTTGGATGAACAAAAAACACACAATTGACTGATAGAATTATAACTAATGCAAAAAATGTTTCCAGTTAACTGTGGTAAAATACTTTTCCTACAGTCACCCGACAAAGTTGGCTTCCCTGTACTGTTTATAGTACAGAAAGCTGCTAATTGCTGCATATTTATACTTTGCCGTACGGTTTATACTTTGCCGCACGGTTTATACTTTGCCGCACATCAGGATTCCAACCAAACAACACAAAACAGCGTGGTTTTATTATGCACGTAATCCGTGTACGCTTGGAAATAGGTTGGCAACACTTAAAGATAATAATACTATGAACAGCTGATTGACTATTATAACTACGATTTAACCTGTCATTTCGTGTTTATAGTTTTGGTATTTCTGAACTTTCTGGACTTTTCTTTTAAACGTTTTTAAAACATTCCTACGGTCTTAATAAACAAGAAAATACCTTTAAAGCATTTTTTTTAGGCGCGGAAACCACTTCAAATTACAAAAACATACGGAACTATATTCTCATAAGACGGAGCACATTTCTTGCCGAGGAAAAATAGCGGAGTGATACGGACCACGGGTACTACTTTCTCCAGGGCACCATTTGTGTAATTGTGTTGCTAGCTGAACCTAAAAACGTGTTGTATAGTGTTTGAAAGACTAATTATTTATGTTTTATAGTGACTGTAGGAAAAATATAATGTGTAACACGAGTGAAAAAGGCCTTTGCTGCACTCGAGATCATTCCGCACTCGCCTGCGGCTCGTGCGTAAACATTGCTCTCGTGTGCAGCAAAGTGCCACTTTCACCACTAGTTACACAAATAACTATTTAAGTACCGGTACAGTAAATTTTATTGCTACAGCCAGCTTTAAAAAATATATATAACTTTTTCAGCAACTTTGTGGTCTCACTCTTGATTTTTTGTAAGTCTACACATTTAATTCACAAAAGAGACTATTCTCTTCAAATGTTAAAACGAACAACTGAAATATACCCACATAATACATTGAAATAAAAAAAGTTGTGTTCTGACAAAACAAAGTTTGGTTTCAATCCTCTTGACATCAACAAATATTTGTACATGCTGAATTTAGTGCCAGTCTGGGCAATTTCAACCAAGCTACAGCATATTGCATGCATTTGTCAAAGCTCAGTGTCCTCTAGTAATAATTTAATTAGATATTTTCTCTAGATTTCTACAACTAAGTACAATAACACAAGTTTTAATGTAACACACTGTTGTGCTACATGGCCGAGCAACAAAGTTAGACTTACCAGTTTTTCCAGAGAATGTAACATCTCTTGCATGTGAACTCACTGATACTAAAATCACCTGAACAACAACCAATAGCATTTCAGTACATCAATTGTTTGTGTAGTTAGTTGAATGGATTGGTGTTTGAAGACATGGCACGAATTATTACATTGTGTGTTTAATTATTCCAAGATATCACACTAAAGCAATTAAGATAGGGGTTATGGATTTGGCAGCAAGTGAGAATTTAGTCTGATAGAAAAGTATGTAGCCTTGGTCATCTAAAGAATTGGTCCTTTGTAACCATGTTCCATTAAATAAAGTTGATATTGAACTAAAATGTTTTTTTTTATTTAATAAGTGAGTTTCGAGGTCAAGATCATAGAAACGGAAATTGTGATGAACTCAGTTTTATCAAGAGTTCATAATCACACTACAAAGTAATTAGTGTAATCTTTTGGACCTTTCGCATAAAGTGAAAAATGAAATGTACTCCATTTATTTGTACATTTCTGTTTTACCTTGGGTACTCATAAAAGAATTAAGAGCTGATACAGGTAAGATATGTATTTTTAAACTACACAATTTAGAATTACACTCAAAAAATAAATTTGAATGGAAACAAATATATATCTCATTGTGTTTTTTTTTTTGTCCTAGGACGCTAGGCATGAGCCCGAATTGTTTTTCACAATCTCATTGTGTTAAAACACTCTGTGTTTTAAATATATTTTGTTTATAAATTAGTAAACGTTTTAAAAACTGTGTTAATTGTAACATTTTGTTCAGGCCGTAAGATTTTGAATCAAAATGAAAGAAGAGACAATGAAACAACAATGGAATATCCATCGCCCTTGAGTAGCCTGTTTAAAAATATGTCAGTTGCAATGGAAACAGAATCGGAACAAGAATCGGATAATGATGGAAATAAATGGAACACCACCGTCCTTGAGGGTTATAAAAGCCGGGGAATTTATTTGTCGCTTCAGTCGATTCTTGATTATTTACGGCAACCTGAAGTGAGTACCTTTTCCTACCTATAGTTGTTAACTTTTACTACCTACTGTAAGCTGTAGAATAATTTATACAACTAAAGAAATCCAGAGAGCAACCAACAAAGTAACAGTCTTCAGTCTATAGTTAAATTTTTAGAAGTTACACTTTCCCGCATCAGCAGTGGTGTAGGCGTAAATTTTCTAGTGTGGGAACGCTCACACTAAAAAACCTGTCTTGGAAAAACCAGGAGTCACCTATGAAAATATAGGATTTTTGGAAAAAGCAGAGTGGGAAGCCAGTTCCCCATGTATTGTGGCACGCCATTACTTTAATACTTTTCAATCAAATGGCGACCATGGACCATTACACCACTGAGCATCATTACGATAACAGTTTAAACAAGCTTAAGGGAGAGATGTACCCCCTACTGTTCTATTTCAAATTTTGACTTCTCAAGGTTTCTTCTGTATAAGTTAAAACTAAACAGAACCTAATAGAAGTTTTAATTCCTCATTTGAATCTCACTTCATTCTAAATTAATCATTCAATCATGTTTGGGTTGAAATATGCCCATTTGCTTGGGTAGATTTGTTACTGAGACCAGCTGTTTCATTAGTCAAAACAAATTTTTTTCTTCTATAAAATGCCCATCCGTAATGGTTAAGACAGCTAGGCTCAGTTTGAACCATCAAAAAGCTATTGGCTTTTTCTAGAGATTGAACCAACCTCTTTTGATTACCATGTGAAAGCTACCCATCTCAAGAATCCCTCTCTCTTGGACCTTGTCCAATCTAAAAAAGTCTGAACCTTAAGTTTGCATTTTAGGTTTTGAGATTGGTTTTTAAGTTTCTGTTTCGGTTTTAAGATTTTAAATTTGTTTCGACTACTCTACTTTAGTTCTTATACCTTCATGAAAAATGTATTTATCATTAAATTAGGAAAATGTTGCTGATGACATAGTGGCGGATCTAGAACAGTCATAAGGGGAGGGGGGGGGGCAAAACGCTGGGTCTGGGGGGTTCGGGGTACCCCCCCAAAAAACTTTTGAACTTCAAGTCCCCAAAATGGCAGTTTTATACCATTTCATTGTCCAAAGTTAGTGTGACAAATTATTTAACACAATATGTAAGCACTACTGTAATTCTTTTTGTCTATGATTATATGCAGTAAAAAATATATACAGTACAGGGTGTTTTTTTAAAAACTTGCATCTTTATTTATGTAAAAACCGCAATAGATAGAAATATGCAGTTTGCGGGAATCATCTATTGACGTAGGGGGCCCAATTGTTTTGAATTCTACGTTACATTAACATTCCCCCCCTTTCCCCCCTGCCCCCAACTTAATTTTTTTAAATAGCAAGGTACCCCTTGTGACATATCAAATGAAAGAGCATGAAAAAAGAAAATGTTTGATGAAAAAAATTGAAAATCGGTTCATAAATTTGCGAGATTTCCCCCTCCCCCTCCCCGGAACTTAATTTTTTTTAATAGCAAGGTACCCCTTGTGACATATCAAATAATCAAATGAAAGAGCATGAAAAAAGAAAATGTTTGGTGAAATTTATTTTTCATTTTATATGTCACAAGGGCGGGTACCTTGCTATTAAAAAACAAGTTATGGGTAGGGGAAGGGGGGGGGATTATCTCACAAATTCATGAGCCGATTTTAAATTGTTTTCACCAAAAATTTTCTTTTTTTATGCTCTTTCATTTGATATGTCACAAGGGGTACCTTGCTATTAAAAAAAAAATTAGTTCCGGGGGGGGGGGGGGGAGGGGGGGAATATCTCACAAATTTATGAACCGATTTTCAATTTTTTTTTTTTATCAAACATTTTCTTTTTTTATGCTCTTTTATTTGATATGTCACAAGGGGTACCTTGCTATTTAAAAAAAATAAGTTGGGGGCAGGGGGGAAAGGGGGGGAATGTGAATGTAACGTCGAATTCAAAAAAATTGTGCCCCCTACGTCAATAGATGATTTCCGCCAACTGCATATTACCCCACAGCTAACCGTAAACACACACACAGCCGCCGTATCTATTGCGGTTTTTACATAAATAAAGATGCAAGTTTTTAAAAAAACACCCTGTATATATGTATGCCCAAGGGGGGGGTTGCCCCCTTCCCCCCCCTCTGGATCCGCCACTGTTTTCACAAACATAATTCAAACTGAATTTTCATCCTGGTCCTCAGTACCTGTCCACACCAGCAATGAAGGAGATATTGAAGAAGTACAAGAGAGCCCTGAACACTGTAGGTGGAAAGCAGCTAACAGATTTTTTGCCGGGACCTCGACGACGGTTCATAGTCATAGAGGGGCTGTACACATCAAGTAAGTCATGTAAGTGCAAAGTGTTTAGGGGAGGAAGATCTAGGTAGATATAGTGTCCAGTGTTACTTTTGGTCCATTATTTCTTTGGAGAAGAAGCTGCTCTGCAAAAAACTAAATTTAACGGCTCTGTAAGGCTTTAGACGGATTGTAGTGCCAAAAGTTATATATTTTTTAATGCGATTTAGTTGTTTGTGGAGAAGGGCGGAACAATAATATTTATTGAATTGCAATTCAGTATGTTATATAACTTACAGGATTGTGAAAAAAGGGCTAAAACCAAGACTTTAAACCATCTGTTTTTACATTAAACAAATAAATATATCAGAAATTTATAGGACAAGGAAATATAAAATTTACCCTGCAAAAAATTTAGCTAGATTGAGTGGGTAGGTTAATTCACACACATCACCAGTGTACTCCCCTGGTAAAATTCTTTGTGGGGCGCCCATGAATTATTGTGTTTATATCCAAAGTCACAACAATCTTGGTCCATTTTTTTTACAATGTGAATTACAATGGAAAGCACCATGTCCACTCATCCATAATAATAATCTACTTAATCGAGGAGTATGTTTTAGCCATGACACTGTATGAACTACTACACGTAGTGTAATATTGCTGCTACGTAATATGTTTAGTATTTATGTATGGGTTTTCCAATAAGAATTGTTTAAGAAAGAAGCAACGTTGCACAACTGGTGTCAAGAAGTCTACATGCCAAGTATATCCTGAACCCTTACGGCAAGTTGGCTGGGGTGTCCAAGCTACCTGCGACGTACAGCACTCGCAGAGCCTACTACTGTCTCACCAAATACGCTGTTGCTAACGTTGCGGCCAAAATGTTACGGGATGATCCTGTGGTTATGGAGAGGTAGGGATTCAACAATTTATTCACTTCACTTCAACTTAACAGTCAAACTCAAATGCCCTGTTAGAGTTTTGTTATGAAAAGAAATGTTTAAAACGATGATTAAAGATTACATGCGTAATCTTTGATACTACTAACTATGTGTTGATTTTTTATTGGTTTAGCTGGACTTGACACAGGCCTTAAGGATTTTTAAAAAAGAATTTAAAGAATACTAGAGGACACATGCTGCTCCGCAGCGTTGAAATAAATATCATATCTCTAGAAATAATCACATTTTTGATTTTTGATTGAGTAATACAGTATCTTCTTGAACCATATAGACAAAAAGAATTAAATATAGACCGTCAGCTGTGCTGCGGTTACCAAAGGTTCTGGCGCACACCACTGGGAGTGCCATGTGGTTATGGAGCGCTATACGGCACTCCCAAGTACATTACCGTAACAGTACCCAGCCTTTAGTTAAATTTTTAGAAGTTACACCATCCTTCAGCAGAGGAGTAGGCGTAAATTTTCTAGTGTGGGAACGCTCACACTAAAAAACCTGTCTTGGAAAAACCTATGGTAACCATCCGCAACACGGCTGACAGTCTATGTTTAATTCTTTTTATCTATGCTTGAACTTACCTAATTCAAACAATCAATAGCTCAAATTAAAGCCTATAATTTACTGATTACTTTTGTGTTAAAAACATTAAAAAAATACAGGAGCTATTAATTTTTTATCCTAGAAAAACCTTATAAAAAATAATTTTTATGTTGGTTGTTCGCCTTGCATTTGCTTAAAACTCGTTCAAATTGAATAACTAATATCTTAAATGAAAACCGGTTTTCACTGAAAGGTTCTTCGACCAAAATATATAGGATTATATAATTATAACTGGAGAAATACATCTTAAATTGAAGTAAGAATTCAAAAATAAATCAAATTTATGTTTTTTTGTCACGTAATACAGTTGATAAATATATGCCTCTTGATGTGAAATCTGTGCATTTCTTACCTTCAATTTTAGACCTCAATCATTACGAGTATATTTATGTTAAATTTCTAGGTGTTCTCAAACTCTTTCTATGTTAAGATAGAATTTGTCAACTTTTGACTATTAAATCTGTATACCTATAGGGTGTCCAGTTAGTAAACAACCAAACTCCTGGAAATGGTTTTATGGATGAAAAAAATAAAGAGAAAATCCAGGATAATCTTTTTCCAAAATCTCTTTTAGAACCAGATATCCACAATTTTTAACCATGCTTTTTTATCCAGTTGACTTACTATACACTGTGTATCTTACTGGCAACTGTTTTTTTTTCTGACTACTAACCATTTATATTTCAGGTACTGGTTGGATCAAATCACCTTTGCTATAGCCAAGACTTTCAAGTCTGAACTTCCCCCACTTGACTCTGGTCTGTATGACTGGCCTAAAGATCTGTTAAAACCTGATCTTACATTCTTTATAAATGCTGACAACAAATCACTCGATGGACTGTACCAACCGAACGAAATTAACAATTTTACTCTCAAGTAAGTTTAGCATTAAATTGAAGATATGACAAATTGAAAGAAAGGGTGGTATTTTCTAGGAAAAAAGAAATTTTTGATTATAGTTTACATAGATTTTTCCCATAGCAAATGATGGCATAGCATTTTTTTCCCAAAAAACAAGCAAATACGTAGTTTAACATGGTATGTTTAGACTATAATAATTCATGAATTTCATGTCAGCCTTGTACAATCACGTGTATGTATAAAGCGGTTTAAATACCCTTAAGGTGCATTGTCCCTGAAGCGACTCTTGCGATAGTAGCTGAGCGATAGTAGCTCAGCGATAGTAGTTGAGCACTGGTTAGCATTGTTTCAAATGGGACCATTGTCCTTGACGCGACTGCGACTGGAGCGGCTAGCGGCTGAATACAGCGACTGTAGCGGGTCTGCTCTGAGGGCAGTCAGAGTCGCAGTCGCTGAGCGATTTGTGTTGTTTGTAGACTTGTTTTGGTCGTAATTTCTTCAAAGAATACAAAACTGCTTTCTACCCCTGAAGAAGATGAAAAGCTGTTAGTACAGAATAAGTATTGAATAAATACTTGAAGATTTAAAACGTGGGGCGCATGCTAATTTATAATTATCTTCACCTATTGAACTATTATTATCCATTGCATGCTCCCCACGTTTTTCGTTTTAAATCTTACAAGTATTTATTCTCTCCACATAGTATTAATAAATTTATTTACTTTTGAGTGTGTTTAAAAACGTGATATTTTTAAAAATTATTTTTATTTATAATTATTTTCTACTAATTTTAGAAATAATTTTAGTATTTACAGCTGATTTCAATTGATATATTTAGGCCTACATTCTTCCAAAATGTAAACATGAAAAATTTGGAAGCCCAAGGGAAATATGAAAATTAAATTATATAATATTGCATTGTCATCCATTTGTGAGCTATGTTTCAAGTTTCACATAGTTCTAGTTTCAGTTCTCTAGCTCGTCTCGTCGGGAAGTTAGTTATTGATTGCAAAGTTTGTACCGGATAAGAAAGTGAGCTAATAAAAACGTTTTAAAATTAGCTGGTGTCATGGCACTCATGGCACCAATTCACTCGAAAAGTCAGCAAAATGAACAAAATCGCTCTAGAACAATCGCTTCAGGGACAATGACATGGTTAGCTACTATCGCTGAGCTACTATCGCTGAGCTACTATCGCTCAGCTACTATCGCAAGAGTCGCTTCAGGGACAATGCACCTTTACTGCTGAGTGGTTCTTGTAGCCCTATCTAGAAGAAATTAATCCGTCTGGAAGGTACAAAAATGTACACTTTGTGGACTAAAGAAGACTCCTTCAAAGACCCCAACCAAACAACTAGCCCAAATAGGACAACAAGAATCACTGGGCATTAAGAGGTATTTCAACTACTTTACTTTATGATTATCAACAAAGTAACAGGTTTTGGTTCAATTTTAATTGATGCTCTAATTTTGTTGCAGCCTTCTACAAGTTTATGATTACTTCAAGATGAAAATTCCTATGGTGGAGATAAGTTCGAACCAGTCTCTCCTAGCTATGGTCAAGGAGGTCGTCGGCCATGTAAGAAGTCTCGGGCCGGAGATAGTGGAAGAAAAGAGGAGAAAAGCGGCTCGTCCTCTGGATTAACTTTTGATTATGATCCTCATTCCCTAGCAACCTGTTCTATCTAATTCTGTCCTTATAATGTACACAAACCCTATGGATTGCAAATTGATCAATTTCAAAACAATTAAATTATATCACTCCATTTACTTCAACAAGGATTGAAATGTCACAAGCAAATTTAAGGTTTATTTTTGTTCTAAAGCTCTGTAGTGTCAGTCAATGTAATACAACTGAATTAAAATGTATTGTGATTCTTCCTAAAATACAACGGATGGATAAATATAGTAACCCAACATGGTAGAAGGAAAAAACATAGGTGTGCTGTCATATTCTGATGTCACTCGGATTGCAATCAAAAGATCACCTGATTGTAACTGTCAAATTAGTATGTATTTGTTTTGATTTGATTGTTATTGTTTTTAGAATAATGAAAACAATAACAACCAAATTAAAACAAACACATATACTAATTTGACAGTTACAATCAGGTGATCTTTTGTTTGCAATCCGAGTGACGTCAGAATATGACGGGAATAGCACACCTATGTTTTTTCCTTCCACCATGGTAACCCAAGATTGTTTAGGGTGAATAAATATAAAATGTATATCTATTGAACCATTGAACCATTTTAATGGTTTTAGAGCTTTATCTTTGCCTTTAACATAAAAAATATCAAGAGAAATAGAAAGTTGCTCTGGATTCAATTCCAAAAGGTTTGATTTCAATACAATGTAGTCAAATGGGTATTGGGTATGGGTACGCTCCTTAAAAATAAGTGATAACTAATAACAGATAAAAGGTGTTGATTAAAACTGTGCAACTGTGTTTATTTAACAATCTAGACGAGGACGATGAGATTATTTTGATGATTTTTTACGCATGATTAAATCGTAAAAATTATTAAGACAATGGTTATTAAAAGTAGTTTTTAACTGCCATTTTGTTATTAGTGGTCAGATTTCTATTTTCTTCATGTTAATTGTTTAGTTTTTGTCAAGACCTGTAAAATGATACCAAGCTCGACCATTTTTCGTATTTGAACATTTTGAGCTGCACCCCACTCCCACTACCCAAGGGTTTTTTTTTCAAAACTAACCATAATTATTTTAGTCCCTCGTTTCTAAGAAGGTTGCCGCAAACATTTCAAATATCTCAAATAGTTAAAAGTTAAGGGGGGTGCAAGTAAATTTTCAGCCACCATAATGGTTATTTGGATTTGAAACGTTTTAGGGTGCCATATTGTTATTATTGGTCCGATTTTGGTTTTCTTTATGTCAATTGTTTAGTTTTGTCAAAAACTGTGAAATGATACCAAACTCGACTATACTTGCCTTTTGAAAATTTTGAGCTACCCGCTGCTCTAAGGGCAAAAATTTTCAAAACTAACTAGAGAGAAAAGAATTTATTTTTAAAGATAAATATGTCTGCCTTAAAAAATAAGGTTGCCAATGACACAAAAAAATGTACACTTAAAATATTATTGTAGCCCCCTCATATCTAAGAAGGTTCCCACAAACTGATAAATGTCTCAAAAGGTTTAAAAGTTAAGGGGGTGCAAGTTACTTTCAAGCCACCCTGTATATTAAAGCTCAATAACCTAAGCTGAAAATTAAAATCCGAATATAAAGATCAAAGATGCTTTAAAGTAATTTATCAAAATGTTTTATTGTAGTATCATTCAAAATGTAAATTTACAAACATTTACTTTGCCAAATTGTAGCTTAAATTAATTTCTCAGTAATAAGAAAATAAAATGCCTAGCATTACAAATAATTTTAATTTCACCAAAAGTGACCGGTTTCACCAGAGAATCCCTTCTGAGATTTAGTTCATTAGGCAAACTCCAGATCCCCCGGCCCGCCCCTTCACATATGAATGTACATTAAGTACTCAATCTACCTTATCGACATTTTGTTCTAGCAATATCCGCTAGGTCGCATTTCTGAACAAACTGCAGTTACAGTACAGTACAAATAAGCGGGCAAAGAATGTCTTCAAATCTATCTCTCATTAATAGAAATAGATAGACCACAAAGAAGTGATATAAATATATTTATTGAGCGGACCGAAGCTCTTATACTACACTCCTGCGTTTGAGCAAACGTCTTTCTTGAACAATATCAATATTCCGTAAGCGAATCGGTCCCCACGAAATATCTCAAGTTATGAAAAAGGCAGCATGGCTGGTAAGGATTCATTTTAAATCTTAGGAGGGTACAAGGACTGTGGGGAAAATATGAGAATTGTTAAAAATTATGTACCCACAGGCCTTCAAAGATCCAGTCATTTTCTAATCGGTGGGGCACACGGGAGGGACTAAGGCTAACATATCTTGTAGTGTCAGCGTTCGCCGCTAGAACTGCTAAGTTGAAATAATTTAAATTAATTTTTTTTTAGTTATAAAATTAACTTTTTAATTATAAAATATAGTTTTAAAATTACAAAATAAATTTTTAATTTTTAAAATTAAACTGTCATAACATAACCTAACTAACCAGACTTGCTGATAATATAAAAACTATATAAAATAAAATCTCATAAATAATTACTTATAATTTTTAATTAATTATAAAATTAATTTTAAAATTTAGTATTATAAAATTAAACTGTCATAACCTAACCTAACCAACCAAACTTGCTGATATGAAAAATTTGTTGACAACAAGTTAGTGTTGCCAGCGGGATTCGAACCCGGGACATTCTGCACACCAATCCGACACGCTACCAACTATGCCACGAACGCCGCTGAAATCACATCGTTTCGTTACGGTATTACGGTAATCGTGTCGCCTCAAGAGAAGACATTAGCCACTAGAGATATGACGTCACTACACCTTTAGCCTTAGTCCCTCCCGTGTGCCCATTCCATTTTCTAATGGAAGTACTGCTAGAATATACTACAGTGTTTTTAATAAACTGTTTTAACCAGGTGTTGTAACCATTGCGTATTTGTTTGTTTATATATTTTAGTGTTCTGTTTTTAGGTTAGAATGGTAATGCAGTGTTGAGATCACAAATACTAGAAAAGACCTTTTTTCTAGGATTCTTGGTTGAAATGTATGTGTGTTATGGGGGACCGCATTTACGAAGGGGAGTATTTAGGAACTAGCTGTGTACCCGTTCTTTATTTATTTTATCTATTTATTTCCAACGGATTTCACCAATTTACAATAAGAATTACAATATAGTGAGATACTCATCATGACTAAATACTAAACTAAGTAACAATGCAAAACTGATGAACAATACAATAGGGATACATGCAAAATCTAAGACAGTAAAAAAACTACTTACCTAGGAGTAACAAGACATAAATAATACAAGACATACGGTAATTGAATAAATGGTAAAAAGTTTAAGTCTAAGAAATATTTACATAACAGAGACAAGTGAGACTAACCTAGGAAATATAACAATAAACATAAATGATATATTCTACGTTATACGTTCTACGCACGGGAATCTTTTAGTATTCAGTTGAAACCTTCATATATAAAAACAGCAGTTGGTTTGCATATTTTCAGATACCTATGCTGTCCAAACTATTATACATAACTTCATTTTATGTTGTTTGTTGTTGTTCCGGATTGGTATGACAGTCAATAAAAGGTTAAATTGCCTGTGTCTGTCTGCCGGTCGATCCTAATGTATCCTATTACAGGAGATGCATTTCGGCAAAATTAAATTGTGTCATCATCAGTCCTAATATAAGGTCTTGAGCTTCCCCATTAGGTGCGTCTTGGAGTTTTTGAAACACATACACGAACTGTACACTTATTATACACATCACGAATAAAACATAAATACAGTATTGAGGTGTCTTATTTTAGCCGAAATCACGAAAAATTCGTTAAATCAAGGTCGTTGTTATGGTTTGTTCGTTATGTAGAGGTAAAATATACATTATGTCTTATGGAGTAAAGTTCTAGGGGATTAAAAAAAATTCGTTATATCAAGGAATTCGTTATATCGAGGTTCGTTATATCAAGGTTAGACTGTACACGGTAGGCCTACTTTTATTTTTACTATGGACATGTAGACGCGCGTCGGTCGTGTGCCGAGTCTCGACTGAAAACGCTCATTTAAAAAATGCAAGTTTCCCAACCATATACAACACTGATTCAAGGTCTTTTCCCAGTTACCAAAACTCAAGAACAATTTTATACACAAAGAATCTCTATTTTTCATTTACGGATACCCTACAGATTATTGCACTTGCGATTAATTAAATCCGTTATGTAAGGAAAAACGTTTTTAATCTTACTTGGTTTGGATTTGCTTTCAAAACGTGATCGGAAATGGTTGCGGTATTTGTAAACAACATTCAATGTAAACATATCAGTGACAGCTAGAAGAAATAATCTTGCTTCGAACAGCTGATCGACATGGGTTCAATAGTCGAACATAGATGAATATGTGATAAACATTGGGAAAACTTTACAAAAAATCGCACAAAATTGAGGTTTTTAAACGTCCGTCATTTTATTTACAAAGTAGTGACGCCATATTTTAATGGCTAAAGACAATCTCGCTAATCCAGTGAATACATTAAAATGATTTGGAACTTGATAGGTAATCTCGTTTTTCAGGAGTAGGCCACGTAAAATGGCCGTGACAGACAGGAAAGCAGACAGACAGACAGAAATTTAGATGAGACTTGTTTCGGTTTCTTTAATGTATAAAACGTAAAAATAACCTAAAAGTTTATGATTCTGAGCAATGTACAGACAAAACTCTAATTTTATTTATATAGATGGTGCGCATCATAGGGAATGGTTAAGGTATAATGGTTAAATTACAACGGAGGTGAAGGGCAGCAATTGCTGCTATGGGCCCTCGTTTTAATTAATTACAAAACTTTAAGTCACAACAATCGCAGCAAGTTGGTTGGAGAGAAGTCAATATCGAAAGGTGGGTCAGGCGGAAGTATAGCTAGGCCAAGAGGTCTTTACACTTCCAACGCCTTTCAACAATCAAATCTGCGATTATCGCTACTATTGATTCATCGAATACCACATAGAACGTTTCAATGAGTGGACAAATTTCATAAGCATGGGCGAATATATGTTTTAGTGTATCAGATTTAATCAATAGAATGTAATACTACCGGTATCCTTGAAGATGAGGGTTATACCATAGATAAATCGTGTTGCTTAGTCTATGGTTATACGTGAGTTTCACTAATTAGTGTCTATAGTTGAACAGCAGTAAATTTTTGAACACTGTCATGTCGTATCGGGGAATAAATGGGTTTATTTGGTATGTAAATGGCTGTGTAAAAGTTGAAGTTAAGTAGTTTCTTTTTTGCAAAATCAATCGGTAGATAAGTTTTACATGTTGCAGTTTAAAGACTAGGCAGTAGGCCTACTGTGGCAGTAGGCTGTGTGTGTGTGTGTGTGTGTGTGTGTGTAGGCCTACAGCTTGATGAAAATAATACAAGAACCTTCGTAAAACAATCGTGCAACGAGTTTCTGCAACAGTGTTAACACGTTCGCTACTGAGCGTCGCATATAGCTGCGCGCGCACTACGGCGGCACGGCACGGACGGGCGGGCGGCACGGCAATTTTTAAAAGTTAATAACATTGAATGTCATATGAGTGCGCCCACTACAGCGGTACGGCCGGCAACGGACGTTCGGCAGCTTCCGCCGTTTGTTAAAAAGTCCGGGAGACAGAACTCCAGGACATTTCCGAGCTGCCGTGACGCCCGTACCGCCCGTACCGGCGGGAGCACTGCACACCGACCGGGCGGGCGGCACGGGACATCCGCCATTCTCAACTGATCTCTGTCAAAGTAGCAGTGTTTTCGTGTGTTGTAAACATAGATGTTAGTAAGTTAGATTTTTCTCGTTGAGAAATACCCGAAACTGTACAACATGCGACATCCGGAATATTTTAATAACGTCCGGCGTGACAATATATGGGCAAAAAATATGATCTATTATGAAACAATCAGGTAAGTTTTACACATAATCCTTCTACAATATCAGGAAACAAGGTGTGGGGCCCTCCAAAACTTTGTCTTTTCCTGTTTATTTGGTGTATCTAAAAATTTTTGCTTGCACCTTCTTGTCTCCTCTTCCTCTGCCAAAATTAAACCTACTATCACCACTCTATCTACATCCATCTTTACTCACAATTTTTTACTCGCAGACTGTCCTAAATTGCGGATGTGCGGATGTCCCGTCCCGTCCGTCCGTGCCGTGCCGCCCTAGTGCGCGCACCCCCTCTTAAAAATGCCGTCCGTGCCGTACCGCCCGTCCGTGCCGTGCCGCCGTAGTGCGCGCGTAGCTTATATGCGACGTCGCGGTCATTGCCACAGACCGAGGTATACATTTGAATCCTACACATAGACCGACTGTCACTTGGATAACAGTACACACAGACCACGGGCGAAAACCTGTAAAACAGCTATCATTTACATTGTAATACGCTACAATGGGGTTTGTAAATAAATTATTCTTGTTTATTTGTATTTTTTATAACCTTTTATAATGTCGCATATTTGCGACGCCCGGTCTACAGCGAAGACAATAATGAAAATTATCATAGTTTTCTTGAAATAGACTAAACGTCGCATATATGTGACAGTTCATTTTTTTGTGTTTTAAGGTGAAAGTAAGTAAAGAAATAAACAGATTATTCAAGAACAGTTTATAACTGAACAAATATAAAAGCTACATAGGATAATGCAGCATACATACTGCATACATACATACAGTGATGCAGAAAAGTAAAGACCAGTTTTTCCAACTATTATATGACGTCACCAATCATCATATCCACAGACCAAGCGACGCAGTTGTGCGTCAGACATCTCTGTAGACCACTAAAGGGAATTCAGTGCCTTCAAATAGACCACTACAAAGATATAAGCATTTTAATAACATTAGAACCCCGACGCAAATATGCGTCGGCAGTCTATTTTAATGTGACTAGCCGTCGCATATATGCGACGGCAGTCCATGGGTGGAAACCGGCCGTCGCATATGTGCGTCGCTGGTCCATGTGAATGGAAAATTTCGTACTATTGCAGTAGCGAACGTGTTAATATACCGTAAATATTATATTTACAGCACAGCACACTCTGAATGTATTCGAAATAATTACAAGCTAAACTTGTTATGATAGTTTCAGAACTGTGTGGTTATAGTAAACTCGATAGTGCGTAAGCATAAACGGTCTAAGCCGGTCTAAAAGCAGGGATTGCAGAGAAATATTCAACAAAAGGAAATAAGATTTAACAACTCATGAAACATAAATGTGGAACCAGAATGCACAAGCTTATTGCCATCGATCTTATCTGTTAGCTACCCCAATAAAGACAAAGTAATGACTTCGATGTAACTGTGATCAGATATTTGACAAAAAAGTAAGAAGAATATACCGTCATTACAGGGGCGTAACTGCTAAAGACAACTTATTTTACCTGTTTTTTGTGTTGTTACTCAGGAAATAAAGGACCTAAAAGTGATACAATTTTAGCAGATATAGTTTTAAGGATACAGCTACAACGTATAGCATAAAGATTATAGGTCTACACAGAATAGACGTCCCATGTAATGTAAACATTTGAAGCCAAGAAAATAGATTAAGTTCAGGAACATCCCACCAGAGGGTACTATCGGCACAGAATATTGTCATTAGTGAGGATGGTCTTACAACTAAATTAGTTGTAAGACCATCCTCAACAGATTGCACCACGTTTCTTGGCTTCAATTAATGTTTACATTACTACATGGGAACTGGGAAATCTATTCTGTGTATAGCAGTTAGTTAATATCTACCGGTACTGTTGGTTTATCTTAATGTTACGTCCGCTTTCGCTTTATGTTAAATCAGACATTTGTGTCTTAAACAGAGAAAGCAAAAACACCAGCTTCATAAATTATCTTTTAATTCAATATTTTTTTAAATTTGTAAAATCGACTACTCTTAAACACAAAAATGTGTTAAATTGCTTGAAAAGAAATATTTTAAAGTCAAAAATACTATTCAATTAATTATGACGAGGTGTTAGCCCGTCCTACGTACGGGAGTAGTCAGTTAAAACTGTGTAGGCCTGTAATTCAGAACAGCTAGTTTACACGTATAAAGACAAATTTTTATTGCAGCCTACAGTAGAAAGAGTAATTCAATTGAGAAGTGTATAGGCCTAGTCAACGATACCACCTTCCATAGCATACCTGCCTCTTCCATAATTATTATCAGCAAAATACAATTACTATACACAATTTCCAGTAGGTCTGAATAGAAACGACCTAAAATAAAACGATAATATCCAATAAAATTCACAGTACACATAATTTAACTTTGGTGTCCTAACATCAAAACTAATCGTCACACCTATCCTTTATATCAATTTCACTGCATTAATTGCTAAATAAATAAGTGTAAACAAAGAAAAGTAAAAACAACAACAGTTTGTTTTGAAACAGCTGTTTGGTTCAAATAACATTCATTTGAAAAAAAGAACTGGTCACATGTAGCAGGAATATAAAAAGTAAACACGCTAGTAAAGCTAATGACGTAATAGTCAATGTTTATTATCCATACCGTTATCAGTTCTATTCTTGATAATTACCCACCCTCATTGAATAAACGTACATCGTAATTTCCCATATTAGTTAATTTAAACTACAATATATTCATAGTTGAAATAAAAGTGATATTTTCACGTTTGGGGGCGCTGATATAGGCACCCCCAAACGAAACGTAACCACAACTGAACACGATTTCATAAAAGGATGGTTTGTCTAATTGCAGTATCCTAGGTCAATGTTGACGTTGTGTTCAATCTGTCATCCATCTGTTTATCTTTGTATAAAACCAGGCTGAGGTTGTGGTGGTAATTTAAAATCGTGATTGCTGATTATTCTTGATCTTCTTTTTATGACATAAATATTTCCGGGCCTAATCCAAACAAAGTTAAAGCAGACAAACATAAACATTAATTGTAAACATAAAGCTACCATTAAGAATTAATACATGTAAACACTGTTATTTTTTAAATCTTTCCTTGAAAAGTGGAGCAGTAATATAATTTGCATTTATCCTTTTTTATTAAGACTCGTGTACAGAGCCTCGATTTGTACTGTGGTTTAATTAATTTTGGTTAAAACTGTGGTTTAAACTGTGGTCTAATTATCTCTACTAATCTTACTTATTTCATATAATCAATGACAAAATAAAAGTAAATAAAATAACCTCATAGTTCCATAGTTTATATTTAACCAGCTGTTAGTTAAAACAAATTATATTGCTCTAAAACAAATCGAAGATTACAATGATTGCTTTAAAAAATAATTTGAACATCCTAGTATTTTACTATGTATATTTAATTATATTGTAATCCTCTTACCGAAGAATTGAACGTATCAATGATTAGCATTACATATAGTATAAATAAGTCAACCCTAAGTATGTCTTTACATTTTTATCCAAATGCTGAATTTGTGACACAAAAGCTGAATGTTTACAGCTGTTATGTTAAGCAAATTATTTTATGCCAAAAGCTAGTTTAGAATATTAGCGTCGGCTGCTAGACTTTTTAAAAATTAAAATTTAATTTCTAAAAAACTGGGACCCTAAAATAAAATTATGGCTTCGACATTCCCTAGTTCTCAAAATTATCTTTCTTTCAACACAAAAATCATGAAAATCCGTCAAGTGGTTGATTCAGAATCGTGAAATAAAAAAACACTATTTCGTTTTAATATTATAGATAGATAAACATTTCATATTCAGCGTGTAATTGGTTGAAGTCAGCTATTATTGTTGAGTCATGGAGTGGATTTTCATACAACAGAATATGTTTTTCGCCCCCTTACAATAAAGGTAAAAACCTTACCACTGCAACAAAACACTATATAAAAGCATCATCGTTTACGTCAAATTCATATTTACTATTTTTCAATGTGAGAATCCATCTCATCGTGAAACACACTAGTACATTATTTATTTTAATCGCTCATAACCTACCCGACGCCGACTTCGATACATCGATAGTACAGATCGATACGGGGGTGCGGGTTGTGGCAGAGTTCAGTCCAGGTGTTGTGGCCGCGGTGATGGGGTGCGCTAGCAGTACGCCACTGACGGCGACCCAAGGACCGTCCCCCGAGGCACCCCCGTACGACCTGCGGGGCGGAGACCCGAGCTCGCTGGCGGGGGATGACAGCGTCGCGGGGAAGGTACGGCAGACCGTGACGGGGATGGCCGACGCGCTGCCCGTTCAGGAAATGCTCGACGGAGTTACACATGCTAAAGATGAGGCGTTCCACAAGCTGCAAGGTAAACTAGGAAACCTTATAGGGGATTTGCTAAAAACAGGTGGCATGTGTTTTAGGATGCGTCAAAATGGATTTGAAGTTTGAGTGTTTTGATTTAATTTTCGAGAATAGGTGATCGGACATCTATCGTGCACTAGTGGGAAGTCTTGAGATTCGGGAAACCTAAGGCTTTGGAGTAACTATGACATCCATAGATATGATCCATATCCATACTTTTGTCATCATATACTGTTGCTTATTTCGGCCGATTCTACATCACTGTTGGCTATTACACTGTTCAATATATCCAGAGACTAAAAATCAACAACTTAACATTACCAACTGGTTTGTATTAATCTGGTTTCTGACAAAAAGTTAACAAAATTCAACTACACAACCTCCTATTTTATGTGCACCTCTATGATCCATCCATATCCAAAAATTCAAACAATTGTTCCAAGTGTTACATTTTCAAAAACAAACAATATGTTTGTTGTACTTTACCACACGAAATACACAAACTTTACATAATAATGCGACTGGTTGGGAGATGAATGTTTTTGGAGAAATGGAAAAAATTGTGAAAGATAATTTGGGGGAAGAACAGCATTTACTTATGTGGACAAATCTTAAGCTTAAGTGTGATCTGTGGTGCTCGGACAATTTTAAATCATAAGGCTGTAATTTTGTAGATTTTAATCCAAAATATGGAATTCACTTTTTTACATAGGCTAATACAGTATGTCTGATTTTTAGTAAATTCTCATTTTTGAGTACCTATATTAAATATGAAGTGAATTGGATGGGAATTGCAACCGTCAGCGTGGAAATGTATGTAAATGAGTTCATGTAACTATTGTTAAAAATTCTTGGAACTGAGTTTTCAGGTAGTTTTAGTAGGTACTCGTGAGTATTTGATGGCGTGGAACACGTAACACCAACGGCCCTTCAAATACAATAAAAATTACAAGGTCACAACTCTCCATAACTGTATTGATGAACTAAACCTCATAATTTTGTATTCAATTCGTGTCGTTATTACTGTACAGAAAGGGAAAGATCCCTGCTAAATATATAATTAAATTGCAGTTTGTCTTGAAAATACGTATCCACTGGTTTATAAAACGATTGATATCAAAACTGCCCAAAATGTAAAGTTTGTTTAGCCCTCTCTAGACATTTAAAAATCAAATAGATATAATAGAGTCAATAAACGATTAATTGGCAATTTTCGATCGGCAAGCTGGGAGCTCGTACCCGATTATTTTCTCTGTGTTGGTAACATGTTATGGTTCTACCCAGCTTCATATATATATATATATAAAATTCGCCGTCCCTTTCATATATATGACAAACCAAATCATACCACAGACTATACATTATCAGGCTTCGATGCAGCACTTAAACTGAATCTTGTTATCGACGTAATCAATATGATACATAACTCCATCCTCAATTCAATAATGCAATTATAAATTAAAATTAAACGAAGCTGGTCCATCAGAGTGCATTTTACTTCCCCCTAATAGGCTATGTATATGGAGCAAGTATGTTTTCATCCATCTTTTTAGTTTTTGGTGGAAATATCCGTTTTAGATTTCCTTATTTTCGAAATTATGTCTGTGTGTGTGGATGATCTACAAATAATGCAAATCTGGCCCGATTATGATGCATTTTGGCAAGTGCGCACTTCACTTATCTATGGTACCTATCTTCAGACGTTTTAATTTAAATGAAGATTTTTTCCATGAAAATAAATTACATAACAGGAAAATCTGAATTAAAAAAAAACTGCCATAACAATATTGATTAAATGTTTCAAATTCTAAACAAAATTAATCAACAACAAATGCTGTAAAAATTACCCTTCAAAAGTAATATAATTTATATGTGATTTTACCGTTAAAATATCATAGTCACTCGCATCGCTTAACATTACAGTACATAAGGGCTTTTATTTAAGTTTTAAATGCGAAATTAATTTAAGGATGAGTGGCGACGAATAAAATATATAATAACACTGACAAAAATTACTATTATAGGTTCTTCAGCCAGAAATAATCGATTTAGTCAAGCGATCAAGAAAGCGGGTATAGTTTCTGGCCATCAAAAATCGAAAGTCAAGTCTCATACCAAACCGGCGACCATTCCCATAACCTGTGTCAGAGAACAAATACTCATACTCTAACATAGACATCGTCATGTTTTACAACAGTTTAGTAGACCTCTCCAAAAAAACACATTAAAACTATGATTTCAAGAGTGTTTACAAAACTTGGCGACTTTAATACAGAATATATGCAACGAATCAATCTACAAAATAGGCGTTATACAACAATAACGATTAAGAAAATAAGTTTTAAAATTCGTAGCATCTAAACAATTTGCATTATATGGCTTAAAAACTTGTTTCTGATATTTTCATCGTATAGATGTGATGACATAATCTATGAGCTGATTTGTAGGCTAACCTGTTTGATCCGGGGGTGCGATTGACCGTAGAAGAGTCAAACGTTTTCTCTCAATTTAATAAACTGATCGTTTGGGAACTCTGTCATAATACGGAAGTGTGCATTACATTCCCAATAGTCGATAGCTTAAATTAACTCCCAGAATATTATCTCCCAGCACGAGTTCACTTAACTAATTATATTAAGCCAATTGAATATTGATAAAGTACAGTCAAGTATACATCTAAGTAGTTGTAACTTGTAACTAGTTAGTTGCAACCGTTTGTTACCTGTGACTTGTAACAGTTCCAAGGTCGCCCGTTGCGTGATGACTACAGCATACCCTATCACAATATTGACCCCTGTTCTACCCTTACTAGGTCACCTCCTTAGAAACTGTTCGCTTTAAAATTTAAAACGCAGATGTCCAACTATTAGCTTTGAATTATATTGTAACCCCCACAATACCTGGGTGTCAATGTTTCATGTACTAGTTGAACTCTTGATCTGAATTTATGACACGGATCGTATAGTAGAACCTTGATAACAAGACTCTCACAGGCATTATAGGTATAGGACTTGTTATCAAGGTTGACTTCTTATCGAGGTGCATTAGGGGTCAAATAAATTCAAAGTGATTTGAAAATGACACTTGTTATCAAGGTTCGCTTGTTATCGAGGTTCCACTATATTGATTACGAATGTTAAGAACGGAAAATATATTCCAATGTCTATTTCGGAGAATATTTCAGGAATGTGCGGAAATTAATGATGAAAATAAAGAAGGAGTCAATAACGTAAATTTTGTACACAGTTTTACAACTTTTATTTTTTTTATGATGTATGTCTTAATTTATACATGGTAGGTAGGTTAGTAATGTGAAGTAATGTTTTTTGAAGTCAAAACCTAACAGGAGTGGCTGAATGCAGTTTTAATAAGTAAAGAGTTGTTCAATATTCTCTCTTTATAGTTTTTTTTTTTTTTTTTTTTATCAAAACTATAGCTAAAAAACAGTACTGTAATCATTGCAAATGGGAAGTAACGAAACCCCCAATAATCAAATGCAAATGCAGATATTGCTTGCTTAACCAACAAAACCATACTACGAAAGAAATGTCGTATCATAGATAAATGAATTGATGTCTAGCTATTTGATTAATTTAGTAAAAACTATTAACTAGTAGAGAAAAGTAACATCACACTGTCTCTAGTGCACATTACAAGTTCTTAGTAGTCACTAAAATCAATCGTAAAGCTCCTTAAAAGCTGGTTTCTCCAAATTGCGCAACTCGAGTAAATTACTGATTTGCGTGCAGAATCGAAATCAAGATGGCCGCGGGATTAAGGAGCGATGACCGGACTCCTTACACGCTGAACGCTGAGCGATCGTTACGAGTTACGCTGACCAAGGAGCTGACCGCTACACCACAGCCACCTCCAGGCCGCGGCCTAGTAGAATTGGCAACGTTGCAAGTAGGGCTGTGTAGCGCCAGACGTCATATGCTAACATGGAAGACAGATGGCGCCCTCTCATTTAATTGCGTGTTATTCATATTGTTAAACAGCACTACTGACAGTGTTGCCACTTGGAACGCCAAGGCCTGGAATTGAACTGAGTGGTTATATGAGTCAGTAAACGTCAAGTAGAGAAATAATTTGTTTTTGTACGTGCAAACCAAAAATTACTATTTAGCCACCCTTTGTTCAGGTTGTGTGTCCTGGTGTCCTGGTACAGTACTACTGAAGTAGGCATACCATTTTTACGGACCAGTGGCAGCCAATATTAAAAATAACATATTCGAATGAGCTATTCACAGATTTTTCTACAGTCACTATTTTCTTTTGTATTTTTAGTTAACTGTGATATAAAAGATAACATAGTTTAAAATAAGCTGGCCTGGTTATAAAGTATGCTTGATTGACTGATTGACATCAGCTCCCTATGTCGATGGTGTAGTTCATTTTTATTCCAAACTGGCTAAGTTTTAAATAATAATGGAATTGGAATTTCTAGTTTTAACACAGATTAAAGAGACAACGGTTCTAATTGCAGTCAAAGGTACAAAGCCGATTAAAAAACCTTGTAAATTATTCTTAGGAATACTTTTCACAGACTAGTACAGGCACGGTGACCAATTAATATCTAAAACAAAAACGCTGTGTACAAAGTTCCTGGAAGTCAAATAAATGTAAATTTTTACTTTATTTTTGACATAAAGTGACTCACATATCGAGAAAGAGAGAATTGTCTTCAGGTTGGCGTGCCGTTGTTCTTCACCCGCCTTTCCTTTATCTTGATCCACATAAAATACCACCAAGGCAGCAATCTGCGATGCTGGACGGTATAATAAAGAAAATAACTTTCAGTTGTTATCCATTCTGACGCTATAAAACAATGCTTGAGGACAAAAACATTTTTTTTTAAATACTCCCGCCGCAGCAAACCTGCAGACTAAGCGAATTTCAACTTGTCTGATTACATTTTTACTAAAATATTTCCATAAATAAGACATATTCCCAATTTTAATAACATTAGATTTTACGAGTGTTAAGGTTTGCTGCTACAGGGAA